CCATTCATTGCAAAGATTCTTGAACTTCACAGCAGAGGCCGAGGGAAGAAACAAAGGCTGCTAAGGAAACATTGCAGTTGGTGGCCCAAAAAATTCAACCCTCAGTGAGAGGTCAGTTGGCCATCAGAACAAAAGAACATAAAGGCAGGGGAGTTTCAGACATACTGTGATGTCTGTTCATTGTGACCTGGGGTTAAAGCAACCCCCCAACTCTGTCTCAACAATAGCATAAAGACAAGGGAAATAGACTCACCTTTTCTCATTTTCTCACGAAGGAAGAAAACCCCACTAAGCTGAAGAAACAGCTCAGGAAGGAGGAGAGAAGATGTAGATACATCGATTTGATCAGAATATAGACCAGTATGACAACCTCAGCAACGCTAAAAGACATGGACTTCAATTCCCAGAATTCCCCTGTTAGCATGCTGGCTGGGGAATTCTAGGAGTTGATGTCCACACTTCTTAAAGTTGCTGAGGTTGAGAAACACTGAACACTGATCAAACTTTCAGGCATAGAACTGCAATTCTCTTATTGTGGAAAAAACAAAATCCATAAACCACTTACTGATTTCCCTTTCTACAAAATATGCGAAGACTAATGTTCTGATACTTTCCCCTGCCCTCTTCTCACAGTGTTAAGCATCAAATTTAGAAAGAAACACGTATTACTGGAATTGGCACGTGCATTATTCAAATAATTCAAGCATTGCCCACCATTTGATAATGCAAGATGATGGCTATGTATGATTTAGGGAGTGTGGTTAATAAACTTTTTTCAGACAAATTTGTCGCCCATAGGGATAAGGCTGGCTGTCATTAAAGGAATACACTTAATGGAACTTAAAGGAACTGAGCATAAACAGAAATATATAATATAATAGGATTCCGTAGGTCATGCAATGCTAATAGAAAACTCACAGAGGCAATGGATTTAAGCTTGACCCCTTAATCCCAAAACATATTGAATAGACATGCTTTGCCTTAAAAATACACACTAGGAATGACGGGAAAATTAGGGGGAAAGATATGGAAAGAAACATATTTGAAAGGGATTTTACATTTTCTGCTTTTTTTACAAAGTGTTGTTCATCTACAGATGTGTCAATTTGGTATAGTGATAAACGCGAAGGCCTAGAAACCAGGAGACTGTGAGTTCTAGTGACACCTTTGGCATGAAAGCCGGCTGGGTGACTTTGAGCCAGTCATTCTCCCTCAGCCCAATTCACCTCACGGAATTGTTGCTGTGAGGGACATAGGAGACGAAGAAGTATTAGGTATGTTCACCACCTTGAGTTATTTATAAAATAATTGAATTGAATTGAATTGAATTTATTGCATTTATATGCCNGAAGGGTTAGGTGGGGTTGTGAATGATGAGTTGTGCTTCCTTTTTATTTGTTCGTTTTATTCCCTTTTTTTTTCTTTTCCTTTTCTTATAGTAAATACCCTGTATATAAGTGATTGCAAATGGAATGTGAAAAATGAATAAAAATATATTTTCGAAAAAGAGAATAGGCTGGCTGATCAACCTGACATCCAAGAAACCCACAAACCAATAGGATTTGTTAACATTATTCCTCTGATATTGCTTCCACCAGATTCTAATGGGCACACCTTACATTCATATGCACAACTTCCTTTATCCAGAGCACCTGCAAATCCCTCAGGTTAGGCCAAAGGAAAATACCTGTGCCAAAAAGTAATAGGCCTTCTCTGGCTGACTGGAAAAACCACTTAGCTCACATTGTGTTAGTATGAGTAAAGCAGTTGAACTGGCAGTAAATGCTAATGTAATAAAAGTAACTTGCTTAACCCAAGGCCAAGCAAGGCAAAAAAAGGGAAAACTAGCTTGATTTAAACCATCTTTCCTAAACTTGATGATATCTTTTGGGCTACAAATCCCTCCATGCCCTCAAGCAATCAAAGGGCTTGAAGGAGGCTGCAGTCCAATTTATCTAGAGGCCCCCATATTGGGGAAAGCTAGTTTAACATTCCAATAGGAGTAATCAAAATTAAAGGAGGGGAAAAAAATCTACATCAGTTAATATATCTCTCTAAAATAAGATGGTATTAAAGTTCAATTTATAGAGGGAAATATTCAATTCATCCCTTTTTCTTGGAGGAGGCTTCCAATTGACAACAGTAATTCCACAACCAAGAATAGTTCTCTTAATTTCTATGCAGTGGAGGTCTAGAAACGGAGCCCAAAGCCTCATCTCATAGTTCAGATTGAAATCTATAGCTGCCAACATAAAGGCAGAGGTAGGGTTTAAAAGCACAGGTAATGATTTCCACACGCAAACACAAAATCTATTCATAGACTGAAAAACGTGCCTTAGGGCTTCAACCTTTTTTTTTACAGGAAATACTGAATTTGTGTAATTACCTGACTTCCTTTGATCCCTTCTTTATTGCAGTACCAGTTAAAATAACAATTTCACTAGATTAAAGGTAAAGGTTCCCCTTGCACATATGTGCTAGTCATTCCCAACTCTAGGGGGNGTGGTCCAAAGATTGTTAGAGGTATTTCCAGATAATTGGTACAAGATGGTACTATACTTCTGTAGCCAATTTTTTTCTTATGGACATTGCAGCAGCACAGAATTTTGCCACTGCAGACATGGTAACCGGGTTAGCAAATAAAAGTATTGGTTTAGGAAATTTATGAGCAGGTTCTCACTATGCCGATAATATGCATGTTTGTTTACTCCACCACACGTAGAAAGAACATCGGGTGTCAGTCTGTGTGTGTGAAGATTGTGAAAGACATCTTTACTTTGATATTCCACAAACAGGCTAACTACTTAAGATAAATAAACCGGTTCCCTGGCAAATGCGCTCTCGACAAAAGCGCGCCCGATGAAACTGCGATGACAAAACTGTGAGTTCTAAATCACACCGATGAATGAGCGCAGAAGCGCGCTAACAGAATGCCATGTTTGGAAGTTCTTCCAACTAAAAGAGCAGAAAGAGATGCTCAGAAGTAAACTGAGACTTTATAGATATGCAGCAATACCAGCAAATTTAAGATGCTCAAAAACAGTCTCTTTTAAAACTGAGGCTCTGGGGGTTGTGAATGATTAGGTTTCTATAACAGGGCTCCTTATACATGGATTAGCAGCATAAGTCTGTATTTTGATTTCCAGATTTACTTTGAAAATGTCTACATAAATTGACAGCAATTCTCAGGTCATGTCTTTCTTCCTTTAGATTATAGATGGTATATATGATAAATTTTTAGATATGCTTAAATCACAAAGCAAAATAATTTGTTTTCTCTAGCAGTGTGCCTTGATTAGACATGCAAGTTGAGATATGCAACAAAAACTTGAGGAACAAAATTAGATTTGCAGCCGTGTATCCAACTCATCCTGAAATCACTGTTAGCATTCTGAACATTGTAAGGCAGGCAAAATAAACAACGGGATGAACACAATGGGATGAATCTATTTATCCTGATTACCCACCTCAGAAAGTTCCTCTTTGCGCAACTTAGTCTCCAGATCTTTCAACTGATTTTGAACATCTACTTGCAAGAAGCCATGTATCAAGCTCAGTTTTTCTTTAACACATTCCTAAAAGCCAGAAGGGGGGAAAGACTAGGTGAGTACCACAGGTAGCAACCCGGGTCTGCAGAAGCTTCCCAAGCTATAGAGGCAGAATGATATTTCACGATTCATCATGGGAAGGGTGCAGTGAAAAGTTTGTGACTTACTCTTTCACCAAGGCCATCTTCATCCCTCTCGAGATCTTTCAGCCTGTTTTTTTAAATCAAAACACAAAGACACCACAAATTAGTTTTGTTTTGACCTCTTGAGTTCTGGAGGAAATTTCACCTCTGAAATGAAAGCCAAGTTAGAGGATCGACAACCAATTTAGATATACACAAGCCCTTTGATTTTCTGTGACTTTTGTCACAGAATGAATCACAGTAAGATATACTAGAACAAATTCAGAAATGACTCACTGACACTGTCATATTGTGCTAAGCCCGGGTTTAAGTATGGTTTGTTGAACAGATTATACGTTGGCTTGAGAGACATAAAAACACAAATCCATGAACAGCCAAACCTCAATTTGGATAGTACAATGCATGTGAACCAGACTGTTGTAGGTAATCAAAGGAGATCCTTCACTGAAAGAAGATATTAGCATTCCATCAGTGCACTTCTTTTCCATCCTGGAAAGGACAGCAAGAGAGTATGTAAAACTTGAGGCTTCCTCTGGATCACTGTTAGAATCCAAGATCCATATTAAAAATATCCTTTAGGGCTGCAACAATATTTGTCATGTTGTGCTTAGATGGGGGGGCAGCTTCTAAAGTAAATGAAGCTTGAAGTCATTAGCACTAAGATCAATGGAAATATCTGACAGTCAGGAACAGTATTTGTGTTACACTTTAATCCCTGCATGCATAATTTAAACATATTTTGATTGGGCATCTTCAGTTCAGATGATGTTTTGGTTGAGGAAAGAATTCTCACACTTTTAGAAGATAAACCACCTCAAGTACTTGCACTGAACGTAATTAAAACTGGTGATTGAGAATGTAATCCTCATATATCAATAGGTCTAGTGTAAGGTATGTGAAGTATGCAGCCACCTGTCAGGCAGAAGCTAAGGATAAAAGGTCCAGCTATAAGATAGGTGACCCACTCTTCATTCTAGGGAAACAAGGAATCCATATATTCCTCTTCCCCGTTAAAATATTTGAACTGTCCACTTGGGGAAAAAAACACACAGTAAACTCAAATTTGTGTTTTAAAGTCAGGCAAAAATCACTTCTTGCATTGAGAATAAAGGCACACACCAAGGAGGGAGGTAGAGGGAAAGAAGAGGGAGGAGTAAGGAAGGNAAAACACACACACACACACACAAAAACATCATCACATACAGCATGTCGTTTGGTTACAGGTGTTTTAACATCCATATTCTCGAATAATATTTACCATCTCAGATTTTTCATCTAGTATAACTAAATACCTCACTTTCATTGTACAGTATATGTTCAGTTACAATTAGTATTATTTTTTTCCTCCAAATGAGGAAGTTTTTCAGCTGCAAAAGTGGGCCAACTTACTGCATCATCTGGATCCCCTTGAAAGAACTTCAGATCAGGGTCGTCCAAGTATTGCCTGCATTCCATGCACTTGGGAGGGGTCGTCTGGAAGAAAAATGCATGACAGAAAAACTGCACTCGGACATCAGAAATATGTAATTAATGCAGGAATTGCTGCTGAATCTAATTTTGAAAACAATTGGAATATGGAATCAACATATTGAAGTTATCATGAAGGCACGAACTCTGCATTTTCAGTTCTTAATTCAGGGGTGGGTCTTTGCATGCTGCTGAAATTCAGTGGCAGGTCCAGGATGGCACTTGAGGGGGCTACATGTGGTGTTTCCAACCTTGCTTCAATGAAGAAATCCAAGATAACTTTAGCTATTGTATTTATGCATTTAGTTGCCAGTTTGTTCTGTTTTGCTCACCTTCAAATCAAAGTGGACCGTAGGTATTTATATAAAAAATAGACAGTAAAATGAAACAGCTTTTCAAATTCCTATGCTGCCCTGTCAGCTTCTTTTATAAATAAAGAAGTTTACCATTTTACAAAAACGTCTCACGTTAATTGAAAAGCTCATGAGGAAGTGAATTAGAGATGCGGTATTAGCATTCTGAAAGGAGCCTTATGTAAAATGTCCTAGAAAAAGTACATAGCTAGAATACTAAATTTAGGTAACCAGGAACCTGGATATTTTATAATAAGATAATGCTATTTTCAAATAGTATGTAATCATTACTTCATGCAAGCGAAGAGCAATAATATTTAAAAGCATAAAAGGTAAAGGTTCCCCTAGCACATATGTGCTAGTCATTCCCTACTCTAGGGGGCGGCGCTCATCTCCGTTTCAACGCTGAAGAGCCAGCGCTATCTGAAGATGTCTCCGTGGTCATGTGGCTAACATGACTAAACGCCGAAGGCGCATGGAAAGCTGTTACCTTCCCACCAAAGGTGGTTCCTAAATTTTTCTACTTGTATTTTTACATGTTTTCAAACTGCTAGGTTGGCAGAAGCTGGGAAAAGTAATGGGAGCTCACTCCGTTATGCGGCGCTAGGGATTCGAACCACTGAACTTCCTGATCAACAAGCTCAGCGTCTTAGCCACTGAGTCACCGCGTCCCTCATTTATGAACATTTATATTTATATAACATTTTGAAGTATGATACTAGATTTATATATTATGTAAAGCTATAGCTTTTTAAAGCCACGTTCTATAGTACACAAGCACCACAGCTGAATTTATGCACTGGTTTTGCTTAATGTAAACAAACCACATTATAACGTATGTGATTGTTTAGTTTCAATTAACTGCAGATTTTTTCAAGTTGATGCTTTTCAGATATAATGCACTACCGTGTTCATGTTGGCTGAAGACTTGCAGGTGTTAAAAGGCTTCAAGTTGGAAAGAGTTCAATGTTTACCCATGACAGGCAGGAGGTAATGCCAAACATTTCCACAGTAACTTACAAAGGAACATTGCTAAGCACACAATAAAACAGCCATTAGCAAACAGCAGCATGATTATCTGCAGCCACTTAACCATGCAGGTGATTGTTACATTTCTTCTGGTCTTATTCAAAAACTCTGATCCTGAATTGTCAGTAGCTAGAGAGGACCATTATCTCATAAAGGTTATCTATTATGTATATGGGGTACTTTAGAATGTTTGGCCATTGTAATATTTACTAGCTTTCACCAAAACAATAGCAGATACAGCTAATTAAAACATGTTTCTCAGCCAAATTGTGTACATATACACAATATGATTTGCCACCCAACAGGGAAAGGCTCATCTGCACCAAACTACTTTCAACACTTCATTTTAGCAAATATAGTATAGATGGTGTTTTTTAATTCATTAAACAAACAAAATCACACAAACAAACTATCTACTTACTTTAACAGGAGTTACAGTTTTAATCTGATTTACTTCTTCTTTTATCTCAGACCTGGGGAGAAGGGACATACATAATGACAGAAGTAGGGATATTACAGGCTATTATAACAAGTTTAAGACATTTGATAATTTTGTAAAGTGTTTGGATCCCAATAACCAACAGTAGCACATTTATGATTACCGTGGCGCCTTTTATTGCAAAATTGCTTACTAGAATCCTATATTCAAAAGGTGGAATATAAATTTAAATGCACTTGCATAGTATTTCTTTGTACAAATAAGCACATTAAAAACAAAGTTTGCCAAGGAGGTATATAATTGGCTATATTATAGTAAATTTCCACTATTATGGAAACAGAAGAGACTGTGGTTCTGCTCCAGTTTTAGAATTATTACTTTCAATCTCTGCAGAAGCATAATAAAGTGTTGGGCAAACGCTGAATTTTTATTAAACTTGGAAGAAGCCATTTGTGTTCTGATGGAAACATAACATTCCTGTTTCTTTCATTCTTGTAAACTCCATGCTTTTTTCCGCTCGTGCTTTCTACCATCCCCCCTCCATTTCCTTTTCTGAACTAACTTCCTGGAGTGTCACATCAACATAAACAATGGAACCTAAGTGTTGTGGCCCAGCAGGAGCCATTGGAGCTGACACCAGACTCCGACAGCGAGGGGCCCTATGAGTTGGCTCTGGAGGATGTGGAGGATCCTGGACAGGGTTCCGACTCCGAGCAGGGCGCAGAGAGGCTGATTGGCCACCAGGAGGTGCCTGAGCCTTGGAGCAGTGGGGAGGAGACAAGGGAGTGTGATCCNTCATATAAATTTATTAAATTACGAATTAGGAAGAGTGTTTTTCCCACGTTTCTCTGGTTGGAGGAGAGCTATCCATTCCAGTGAAAGCGAGGAAGCTGAAATGACTTGGAAAAAGATAACTTGTTTTGAGCCAACGTGATAAATGTGCACAGCAATGATTATTTGGAGCAATTGTCAATTAATAATTCTGCCCAGGGAAAGAGATCCAACAAAAAAACCCCACCTCCTTCAGAAAGAGCCGGGTTCCTTTGAAATGCAGCACGCTGCTGGAAGTGCCAACGAGCAGAAAGCCACCTCCTCATCCTGCAAACTCATGACTGCCAACAACCCAACCCATTTCAGCGCCCCCCCTTTATTTTTATGCAGAAGTCAGGGCATGTTAACCAATGCTTCCTGAACTGCGTGTGTGCGCCTGCGTTGATCCTTGCCCTAAACACAAACAAATGTTCCCGCCAAGTTGCGCTTTCAACTGGAAAAGAAACGCGTTTTCACTTCCTGTCCCAGATGGCAATGGGTGGCATAAGGAGAGAGAAAAAAAAAGGAAGATGAGGCCCGTGTCCTTGTGAGATATCCAGTGGCTAATTCACGTCTGATGCAGCGATTCATATTCCTTACACTCTCCCCCCCACCCACCAACTCAAAAAGAAGCTGGCACCTTTGAATGTTTTTAGTAAAGATTAACAATCCCCCCCCCCACTTCCGATTCCTCTTTTCTTTCTTTTTTTAATAGTTGCTGTTAGAGAGCTGCAATTTCTATGCAAGAGATCCCAAGCCTGGAGAGGGGAGAATCTAAAAACCAGATAAGATAATGATCTTAATTGATTTTTAGGAATTAACCTAATTGGATTAACTTTTGTTACTTGACAAGTGGGGAGGGGGGGAGGGAAGCGGGAAAGTAACGCAGTGGCCAAACAATCCTATGAACCAGAAACATCCAAGTAAATATCTTCTCCCTCCAAGTTGGGGGGGGGGGGGAGAAGCATACAGTATTATGTAAAGAATTTCAAAGGCCTTGCACTCCTGGTCATCTCTCCCCCCCCCAAAAGTGGGGAAACTCCCCCATTAAGGATATATCTGGTTTTTTTACAAACTAGGGGAACCACAAAAATGCTTTTCTCCTAGTCTCCCTCCCTTCTCCCCCCAAAGGCACCCAAGTGACTTAAGAAATCCACTGCAGGCTATTAAAAGTGGGGGGGAGTTTGGGGAGGGGGAGTTTGGGGAGGGGGGGAGACCTAGCCCCTTTCCTTTAACTTCTCTCCATAGAGTTCCTTGCTCTCCTTGTCGCACTTCTCCCCCCCCCCCTTTTGCGGGAACTTTTTTCCTTCTCCCTGCGCAACCCCAAACGGCCGCAGGGACACGTTTGGGGGGGGAAGGAAGCGCCAATATCGAAAAGCCCCGGGATTGTCAGTTTGGAAGCGGCTTCCCCATCAAACAGGAAGAGGGGTGGGAAGCACGAGGGGGGGTCCCGCTCGCCTGGTCCCGAAACGGGAGGTTTGGGGAGGGGGGGAGACCTAGCCCCTTTCCTTTAACTTCTCTCCATAGAGTTCCTTGCTCTCCTTGTCGCACTTCTCCCCCCCCCCCCTTTGCGGGAACTTTTTTTCCTTCTCCCTGCGCAACCCCAAACGGCCGCAGGGACACGTTTGGGGGGGGAAGGAAGCGCCAATATCGAAAAGCCCCGGGATTGTCAGTTTGGAAGCGGCTTCCCCATCAAACAGGAAGAGGGGTGGGAAGCACGAGGGGGGGTCCCGCTCGCCTGGTCCCGAAACGGGAGGGTTGGGGAGGGGGGGGG